TTTATCTGTTCTGGTGCTGGAGTGTGTTCCTAGAGATGAATAAAAAAATCAGGAAAGCAATCAGAAAAGCAAAGTCTGTTTCTATGTCTCCTAATGATTCCTTCTCTGGTAGGCTTAGAATTTCTTGGACAGGGCATCATACTCCATGATCTTAGACAGGTATGGTGTGCTCTGTCTGGGCCTCTCTCAATGTTTTATTAGGTCTTCTTCCTGTTCTGTAAACTATATGTTACTGAAGTTTTTGAGTGAGCCTTTCATTTTTACTTCCTGCCAAAAATTATTAACAGAAATGTCTTCACTGCTTCTCACATTCTCAGCTATATTTCATGCATTGTCACAGCCTATCAACTTCACCTCATAAATAGTCCTTAAGTGATCCGTTTCTCTTTCTCAGTCTTTATCACCCAAACAGCTGAGTTACCTCTTTTCCTCCTGATTTTTCTCTAACTCATTCTCCACACTGCATATCCAGTTATCTCGTTTTCAAACCTAACTTAGTGTTCTTCTGAAGACAGAATGGTGCTCCTACTTATGGTCTCTCAGTCTTTACATTCTCCCTTGCACCCTTCTCAAACCTCACCTTCCTAATGCTGCCATTCACTCTTTATATTCCAGTCACTGGCTTCACTCTACATTCATTAGAGTATGTACAAGGCTACCCCTACTCCTTAGAACTCCAAATCTGAATATCAAGTTATTATTGGTCTTTACATACATATTCTAACAACTCCAGGTGGCCTGCCAATGCATCTCTGTGTCATTTTCCATGTCTAACCCCTGTTTGAGCCAGTCACCAAGTCCCTTCAGCTCTCCTAATCATCCTTATCAAACATGTCCCAAGCTAACCAAGGTTCTCAGCCTAAAAACAAAATGTTAGTTTCCTCCTTCATTCCTTCTATTATCACTTCTTCTCTGGTGCTCAGTTCTCTCCAGAATTCCTGAACAGCTATGGGGAGGTCTCCTACTTTCTTAATTCCTTCAATTTTCCTTTAAGCATCAAAGCCAAAGTTCCTCTGAGTGCCACTCTGATTGTGTCTTTCCTCTCAGGAGTGTCCACGAGAATATGAAACACTAGATCTTTAGCCGGATGATCATGACACTCAGCCATGTAACTGAGATATTTCTGGACTAACTCCCTGTTATTCGAATTCAAAGCCAAGACTTCAGTTCTGTATACAAGACAACATTGCTTCCTATATTCACACATGTCTCAGTCTTCTTCTTAGAGATGTTTTCTATCCCTTCCTTCAAGGTCTTGTTTAATTAGTATCATCTTCCCAGAAGCCTTTCTGACAATGGTTTCATGAATGTGAATAAAAACAACACTGGGAGATTTTTGCCTAATTTTATGGTGGGTGTAACATCTTTCTTCTATTCATATATTAATTTACTGTTTTTCCTTGAAAATCACAGCAATTTGGGGGTAAGCTAATTTCTGTTGTCACTCATTAATACGCATGGCTGTAATCAAGGAAATGGGGACTGCACAGCACTGTAGGTGTTACATGTGTAAGAAGTTTTTGTGGTACAGTTCGATATGGTATGGATCCAAGGCTTCATTTAGGAAGTCTGTTTTCCTCTGGCCCATACATTTAAGACAGTACACTCTCTTCTCAAGCCTGGCTACTTTCTACCATACCACTTTGCTTTCTCTAGTTCATATTGTTATCCCTATTTGAAAGTGTTTATATGTTTATTTCTCATATTCTAGACTGATTGGTTGGAAATCAGTCTTATCACTGTCTTACATGTTGCACATGGATGATAATGACTATTGAATAAATGAATGAATGGATAGGCAAATCAATGTCTACCAAATTAATGTCTATTCACGGCAGATGGATATGTCTCAAATCTGATGGATATAGACAATCCTACAGTAAAGTTTAGATGGGATGCTGAACTGTGCTTTTTGCACCCTAGAAGGTTAGTTTGGACGATGACTTGCTAACCCTTCCTCTAGAAGCACAACCCTAAACTTGGTGTGCCATGACAGACTGTTCTTTATATTCCATGCTAATGGCATCATTTTCAAGTTCAAGGTATAATGGAAGCAGCTGCTGCTAAGGTGAAATCCAGTTAGGTAAACTGATGGGAATGGAATTGGCAGCAAAGATGACAGCAGCAAGTAGGAAGAAGAAACCCAGGGTGTCTGTTTAATTTTCAGAAAATGATTGAATCCCTTGTTAAAACTGCTCCTTTACCAGAAATTCAAAATTAGTGTTGCCATTAGCCAATTGACTCTAAATTGTGAAGCTTTGTGCTGTAAAGCTTCAAAGACCAATACATCAGCATTCAAGGTTTGTTGGGATACCTGAGTAGCTGGGTTTAAGTGTGTGTGTGTGTGTGTGTGTGTGTGTGTGTGTGTGGTAATGGATATGCATCCTATTAAATAATTTATGATTAATACATACTTCTATCTGGTATAGACTAGTCTCATTATTCATAGTGCTCCATAAAGTCACATTAGAGAAAAGTGAGCAATTACTCTTAGAGGAAATATAGGGTTTGGTCACATCTTTGTCAAAAATAAAAATAAATAAACAACATATAACATTGCTTCATGTATCTTTCTCTTTGATGACTCTCATTTAATATATCATTGACTTGTTGACACTGAGTTCACACTGAGTAATGCTACAAGCCAGCCTGGGTAGATCATATCTCTCTCATATTTTCTTTATGAGGATAACACATGTTTCTCATGCCTTCCAATACTATGAACAGTGGGTTTCAACCTTGCTAATGCTACAGCCCTTTCATGTATTTCCTCATGTTGTGGTGACCTCCAACCATAAAGTTGTTTTTGCTTCTACTTCTAAACTGTAATTTTGCTACTGTTATGAATTCTAATGAAAATATTTGTGTTTTCTGATGGTCTTAGGTGACCCTTGTGAAACGATTGTTTGACCCCCAAGAGGGGTTGTGACCAACAAGTTGGGAAACACTGCTATACAAATATTCTAAACAGAGAGTCAGCCAACCAAAACACAAACAAATGAGTGTGAAGCAGCTGAGAGAACCAAGCTGTATACAGGTTTGGATACACAGGGCGAAAAAGTGGCATAAACTATTCTTTTCTCTTAAAATTTAGTTTCTAACTAATAACTTTTATTTTCACTTTTCATTTATGATTTATGAGGAACTGAAAATACACACACTAAATATATAAATATATATATATAAGTACAATTGCTTGTAAATTCTCTAGTCCCATGAAAAACAAATTCAAACATCTCCTTTCTGGCCCTGTCTCAGAATATTTTTTTTGAGTATTTTGGAAAGACTGTCACGATATACTTCATTCCTTCCTTCCTTCCTTCCTTTTTTTGAAAATGTACAAAAGATTTTACTTCACTGAGTTAATGTGTGAGGACACTAGTAAGATGTTTCATTTGGTTTGGGAAAGAATTCAAGGAGGAAAACAATGTTCACGCCATTGAAAATGTTAAGGTGGTTTTAGTAAGTGGTGTGAAACACATCCCCATCCAGGGGCAGTCATCAGTACTTGTCACATCACAGGCACAGGTGCATGTGCATGACATAATTGAAAAGATGGATATTGGATTAACAACAGTGCATTGCAGAGTCCCCTGGAAGAGTTACTTCAGCCAAGAGTGGGCCTGGCTCCTGTATCTTGCCTTCAATTTCTTTCATGAGTTTAGTCTGGCAGATTATAATGAATTCCAAAGGTTAAGCCAATCTAAAGAAGCAAAAAGGTAACAAGAGCATCAGACAAGTCTTGCCAAGCTCTCTGTCTCACCAAACAGCTACCAAAAACAAACAAAAATAAACAAATGCGTAAATATATAAGCCTTACTTGAAAAGTGTAACATTAGGGACTAGAGAGATATGTCAACAGTCAAGAAAGCATTCTGGTTTTGTAGGGATCCTTGTTTGCTTCCCAGAGCTGACATCTCTCAGCTTACAAAATGCCAGCAACTCCAGCTCCCGGGACTCTGATGCTCTCTTCCAGAATCAATAGGCACCTGCACTCTCATGAACACACCCAGCACTCATAAAGCACATACACACATGTAATTTAAAAATAAAACATATCACTTTGGGTATGGAGGCACATGCCTTTAATCTCAGCACTCAGGAGGCAGAGGTGGGTGAATCTCTGTGAGTTCAAGTCCAGCTTGTTATACATAGTCAGTTCCAGGTCAGCCAGAGTTACATGGCAGTGCCCTATCTCAAAAAATATATAACAAATATGTTATATTTATATATTTATATATAACTTATGTATATAACATAATTTATTCCATTCTCTATATATTGTATAAGCATACATATTTATTATAAATATATAATAAATCTTTTAAAAAGTAAAAAATTAATATCCATAAACAGTATTTGTTCTGAGATTAAAAACATTCTTCAGTGTATATTAGGGTGTATATGGAAGGTGTCTGCTGCAGACACATTCAGTAAGATACTGACTACAGTTCCAATAACTGCCTGAGGTAACAAAATAGTTTATACCTGACTGAGGAGTTTAATCATCCTTACCAAGACGTTCACTCTCAAGCCAATGAGCAGATAGACAGAACTACCATCTCACTTGTTGGTGAGCACAGCACTGTTACTGTCAACTCTGAAAGACCAGAAGCAATTTATACTATATACATGTAATATAGATGTTCATATGTTTATATACACATATCCATAATATGGCTGGGCAGTTCACATTTTCTACCTGTCAATGTTCAAAGACTAAAATGAAAAAGAAGAAAATGTAAGTATGATTTTTATTTGGGAAAATGATGTAATGTACATGTATGCACATATATTTATGAACATACACATGATACACATGTGTGATCACAGTGGGCACATTCACGTGTATATATACATGTATGCAAACTCCCTTTATTGGGTATCGAGTTAGCTTTACTTTAGATGGTTACTGTCTGGGCTCTCATTTTCTCTCCGTTGTCAAATGGAGAGCAAATCACAGAGGCCAAGTAAACAAAGGAGCAGACACCTTTAAAACCTGCAGTGACAATGAAGCTTTTAATCTGGATGCTGTTGAGTTTTTCACCCCTGCCTCAGCAATGTGGGTCATAAACCAGCCTTGGGTTCCATGAGGTCCCCTGCAGCATGCTCACCCTTCACCCTTACTCAAAGGCTGGCAGACCAAACAGCTCAGGCTGGAAGTCCTGTAGGGAACTCAGCACCAGGGTGGCTTTTTTCGTCAGGTCTTTGCTCAAGTTTTCATCAGGTACCATGACCACCTGCATCCCACAGGCCACGGCTGCCTCCACTCCATTAGGGGAATCTTCAATGACAAGGCAGTTTTCTGGAGCCGCGGGAGGAGAGAACCTCTTGGCACAGACAAGAAATATGTCTGGGGCTGGCTTGCCCTTAGCTACCTCGGCATCATCTCCCAGAACGATGTGATTAAACAAACCAAAGAGCTCTTTGTGTCTAGTGATCTTCATTTGGAAGGAGAGGGAGGCGGAACTGGAGGCCAGGGCAAAGGGTACGCGTTTCTTCCGCAGGTGATGAATCAAATTGTTAGCTCCTGGCATGAGTGATGCTGTGTGCAACACGTCCTTCAGCTTCGTTTGGCTCTCTTCCAAAAACTCTTCTTTGGACATGGGCAACTTCAGGGTCTCTACTATGATCTCTGAGGTTTCTGGGGCCTTCTTCCCCATGACCAGCGACTTGACATCCCAGTTGTATGTCTTCCCATGGTGGCTGCATATTTCTTTAAACACCTCGGTATATAGATTTTCAGTATTCAGAAGCAGTCCATCCAGGTCAAGAATCACATGTGTAACTGGCCGAAGCTTCGGTGCAGAAACCGCCTCTGCCATAGTGAAGGTGGTGGAGGGGCAGGGCAGGGAGAGGAGCGCATGCCCTGACAGCTTGTCCTACGCATGCGTGCTGTGGGCCTCTGTGACATAGTCCTATGACAAGCTACAGAGTCATGAACTATAGAGTCATGAACTTAACAAAATCACCTGGTAACCACTAAACAAGAAACAAGAGAGCAAATAATAATATAGGAGATAAAGCTAACATCATCATGCTTTATTTATGGACTTCAGACCTTGGTCTCGTCATAGATTTAGGTGGAGTGTAGGAAAGAATCCTTCCAGAATGAATGAGGAAGCAGATGTGGAAGCCTAAGGAGGGAGAATGAAAAGAGAAACTTCTTCCTTAATTGAATAAAGTAAGCCCTGCAGTCTCCCTCTCCCTCTCCCTCCCTTCTTCCCTGTCCCTCTCCCTGTCCCTCTCCCTCACCCTCCGTCTCCCCCCCTCTCCCTCTCACTCTCCTTCCCTCTGCCTTCCTCCCTCCTTCCCTCCTTCCCCCCCCCTCTCTCCCTCTCTCTCTCTGTAAAAAGATAGCAAATGTTAAAAAGATGATAGATATGCTTCTCTGAGAAATTAAGTGATTTTAACAAAAATTACACAAAGGAACTCTTTTCTGATGAGCTGTCATAGATTTTTCTAAAGAGACATCAATTTACTAAAGAGATTAGTGTATGAAGAGACCAAATTCTCTGAAAATCTTAGTGATTTTCTGACCACACCTGTTACAGATGACACATAGAAACTCAATCTCTTAATGTTTACCAGCAATAAGAATTTTGAAAGGCGCTGGGCCATGGTGGCGCACACCTTTAATCCCAGCACTCAGGAGGCAGAGGCAGGACAATCTCGTGAGTTCGAAGCCAACCTGGTCTACTAGAGCTAGTTCCAGAACAGCCTCTAAAGCTACACAGAGAGACTCTATATAAAAAAACAAAACAAAACAAAAAAAACCAAAAACCATAAACAAAAACAAAACAAAACAAAAAGCATATTTAAAGGATCAGAACACATCAGAGCTATAATAGTTCATGTCCCACATTTACCATTAATCAATAAAGTTAAATTGATTATTTAGACCCGAAGTAATCCTAAATATGATTGTGTTAGGGGACTGGAGATATGGTTCAATCATTAAGAGCACCTACTGCTTTTCCAGAGGATCCAGGTTTGATTCCTAGCACCCAGATAGCAGCTTATACAAGTGTGTAACTTCAGTTCCCTGAAATCTGATACCCTCTTCTGGTCTCTGCCGGTACTGCATGGGTATACACATGGTGCACAGTCATACATGCAGGCAAAGTATCCATATATATAAAATAAAATGATAATTAAAAATGAATTGAATGCTCTTCATTCATGGCAGGGGTAGGTATCAAGGCACATCAAACATTGTAGAATAATGACTGGATCATACAGTTCTTTGGTTCTTGTGCTATAAATTAAGTACAAAATGGTTGTAATAACCAAGAAGCAGCAGATTTTAAACAAAAGTGTATAAAAGTTGTACATGATGTGCACAAATCAACTCCAGTCAGTTTGAAGCTATTAAAAAACTCCAAGTCCCAAACCTAACCCTGAACAAGGCAATCACCACTCAAAAGAATTATTCAAATTGCTTGCAAAGTTAAATATGTAAAGGAAGTCTTCCAAAGGACCAAGAGTCAGAGTGGAGTGTCACTAGCTGCTGCATTCATGATTAGATCACAATAAGAAAACATATTAAGTACTATGCCAATATGCTAATTACACAGTAAATAGTTCTATCAAAACAACACAGTAAAACCCATAAATCAGTAGTTATGTGTCAATCAAAATTTTAAAAATGGGCATGCATTTAAATACACATCACACACACACACACACACACACACACACACACACACACACACACAATCTTTTTGTCAGTTTCTGAGATCTTCAAGAGGCCATGAGGGAGAACTGTATTTGAAAAATAAAATTTGAAAATAAATTCGTATGAGACACTATCAGTATAGAAAAGAATCTTTACCCCCAAATAAAGCTTAATTTAAAAATTACAAGGATCATTAAAATTCTTTATTGTTTATGATATAGTAAATATTATTCTAGTTATATCTCAGATAGCTGGTATAGAGCATAATATGCATAGCATTATGTCCATTTTCCCAGGGAGGACAAATCTAAGATACGAAGTTCACAGAGATGATAAATACGGGGGCTGTGAGTGGTCATTTAGTGGTCTAGGCCTGAGCTATGACCAAGACTGCAAACTTTTTCTCTGATGTTCTATGTCGGCAGCAAAGTCTGTTCCTAGGACTCAGTCATAACATTCTGTCTTCATGCAATAGTCCTCTACCTGCTTCATTTCTTTGCCTTCTTTCCAAACCCCATTATTTCTCCTAAGGCCCTTTATTTTTGTCTGTTTTATTTACCCTGATCATTTCCCAACTGCTGCCTTCTTGCTCTTTAATAAGTTGTTACAGGGAGCTAAAATTCATCTTACCACATAAACTGAATACTCTTGCAAGCCACATATGTCATTAATTATTCTAAAGCTTATTTAATAATTACTTAGGCTTTGTATTGTTTTGTAGCACTGTGTAAGAGATGCTGAGTTAGTGAGCTTTGGTATTTATGCTTCTATTCTACAAAATCACAGCACAGGTTAGACTGAACTGGGCAATAGTCACAAATCACCAGGGCACTGCAAAAGCAGCCATAGGCTCACAACTGAATAGAATAGACTAATAAATAGAAGTTGAAAATTAAAATTATAGAGGCAGTATTGGCTCAGAGATTTTCTTTGGTGACCTGTGCTGTGTTTAAAAGTAAATAAGTTGAAAATAGTTATAAATCAGCAATGTTATACAGGAGTATCTGAATTCCTGGTTTCTCCTAATAACTTAATCTTGACAATAATGTTCCTATTTTCTTCAGAGCAATAATGAAGTTATATTGCAATTTTCAAGGACTTTTTCAATCGATTTTATGTAGCCTGTTAACTCATATATAACTAGGCCAGCAGGTGTAAGGTGTATGATTTTGCTTGTCATTTTGTGTACTCCTAATTTGGATACTCATGAGATGCTCTATGTACCATTACCAAGCATGCACTATAGAAAACTAAGAGCTCCCTTCTGACTTTCTTTGTACTTCTGTGTTTTTTAAACAGCTATTTCAAACTGGTTCTAACACTGACCTACTTTGGAAATTCACTAGTTACTTTTCAACTGCCAAGAATGACACCTAGGAATACTGCAATTGACATCCTTGCATAATATAGGAAAGTAAGCCCAGAACATACTATGACTGTCAAAATCCAGAGCAGGTATGATCCTTTAAAACATGGAAATAATCAAAAATAATGAAAGGCAGTGTAGTAAAATTTAGTCATTAATTGTCAAGGGTTTCCTTCTTTGTACATGAGTAGAAATTCTCCTTGTTTACTCCTAATATTGCCAGTGAAAAAGCAGTTTTAAGTGCTGACTCTCCAAGGTTTTGCACAGGTAGAACTTGGATGAGCACTTTTAAGTGCTGACTCTCCATGGTTTTGCACAGGTAGAACTTGGATGTGATAGTTCATGTGTTCACAGTGGATTCCAGAAAACCTAGCTGTTTTGAGGAGGCATTTCAGACTGACAGTGTTCTCTGTTTGGATTATATGATACAGATGCATTAAAACATCAAAGTGTATGGTATTATTTTTATTTGCATTTGATATAAACAATTGAGAGAGTCCCAATTCATTTGACTTTGTGAAAGAAATGGATATTATGAGCTGGTAAAAAGTCCTCAGACACCACCTTGCTACTCACTCCCTGGGGTAAGCAATCAAGCTGCTTGATACTTGAAGTATTGTAGTGGCATTATTTTTATATAACAGTAGAGAAATCACTCGATAGTTTCTGTGACCTATTTCCTTTACATAACACTAGAGAAAAATCTAAATGCATCTGTGATATATATCACATATGTATATATAATATATAATATGAGATAAACCTATATTTATATGATAAAGAACTTGTAATACAGCATAGTAGCTAAAAAAATGTAAGTCTGAATCATGACTATGTCATCACTCAGAGGGGGAGAATTCAAAAGGCATGACTGAATGTGGAGTCAGACAATTTGGTCCCAGGATTCCTTAATATTATCTACTAAGTGTTTTAGAGAAAAATATTAAAAATCAAAATCATATGTACTAGCAGAGCTTACTGTGGCTTTTAGAATTCACAGGGAATAATACAAATTTAAGAACTTTAAAAATTGCTACCTTAGCCGGGCGGTGGTGGCGCATGCCTTTAATCCCAGCACTTGGGAGGCAGAGGCAGGCGGATTTCTGTGAGTTCGAGGCCGGGCTGGACTGACAGCCTCCAAAACAATACAGAGAAACCCTGTTTCGTAAAACCAAAAAAAAAATATTGCTACCTTTTCCAATCAACCTTGAATTTATGTGAAAGGGCCACAATATTTCATGGTTTCTGCACTCTCCCTCTCTCTTTCTCTGTCTCTCCCTGTGTCTCTCTGTCTCTCTGTCTGTCTGTCTCTGTCTCTTCTCTCTCTCTCTCCCTCTATCTTTCTCTGTCTCTCTCTGTCTCTCTGTCTGTCTGTCTCTCTCTCTGTCTCTCCTCCCTCTCCCCCTCCCTCTCTCTCTCTCTCTCTCTCTCTCTCTCTCTCTCTCTCTCTCTCTCTCTCTCTCTCTCTCTCTCCCACTCCTGTCTCTTTCTCTTGCTTGCTCTGGAAAAATCTGTGCCTCCACTGGCCATTTGTAGTTTTCCTTTGCATTCTTATCCCATACCAGTTTCATACTGGATCACTTTTCAGTCACCTCAAGCAAGTACCTTCTCCATCTCTCTCCACTAGAGCACTCAGTGTTCAAAAAGTCTCTGGACCTCTGAAGAAGAGGCTATGTCCCCATGAGATGCTTCTCAGTTATAGGAAATCCCAAGAAGAAAGCCAGAGTCCTTTTATTTCTGATCTTTGCTTCAAATGTCTTCCAGTTGTCTGCCTAACCCAAAGTTTCGTAGTCCATGTCCAGCTATATTTTCCAATAAAACACTGCCCAGCCATTACACTCATCAGTGTTGATGAGGGATG